GGGTGCAGCTGCTCAGCACCTGCAGCCACGGTCCCCTTCCCCCTCTCCAGGTGACGCTCTTGGAGCAGATGGGTCAGGCAGCTTGGCTGTCTGCTCCTGGCACAGCAATGAGCCGACCAGCTCTGCCTGCCTTCCTGTCATGCATCCTGCAATGTGTGGAGCACAGGGGCACAGTGTTCCTGGTGCTGCGTGGCTCTGGGCTCATGCACTGCTGCTGACAACCCTTCCCCTCTCAGCACAACAAGTCAGTGCTCTCCCTGAGCAGGAGGTGTGCAGCCTGGCTCTGATTCTGCGAGGCCCGCACAGAGGGCAGCTCAGCTCTCCTGGGATGGGGCTGAAGCCTTGAAGCCAGAATAAGTTTTTAATGTGGAGAGGAGCCAGCATGGAGGGCTGTGGGTGCTGAGAGCTGGTGGGTGTACTGGTGCTGTGTTCAGGAACAGGAGAGCTGCCCAGAGCCATGCACTGCAGAGAGCCTGGATGCTCACCTGCCTCTCTCCTCCTCTCCTGCAGCCCCTTCTCACCTGGCTGACAGTGTCCACAAAAAGAAGCACACGCGCCCAACCTTCACGGGGCACCAGATCTTTGCTCTGGAGAAGACTTTTGAGCAGACCAAGTACCTGGCGGGTCCAGAGAGAGCACGGCTGGCCTATTCGCTTGGCATGACTGAGTCCCAGGTGAAGGTGAGTGTTGGGCCCCACGTGGCACAGGGCGTGTGGCATAGTGGCTGCTAACCGAGCTGGGCCCATGGGGTGGCAGGTCTGGTTCCAGAACCGACGGACCAAATGGAGGAAGAAGAGCGCCCTGGAGCCCTCCTCGTCCTCACAGCGGGTGGGGGGCTCTGGTGGAGAGCGGGCAGCCTCCGAGACCGAGGACGACGAGTACAACAAGCCCCTGGACCCCGATTCGGATGATGAGAAGATCCGGCTGCTGCTGAGGAAGCACCGCGCAGCCTTCTCAGTGCTGGGCTTGGGCACGCACAGCGGCTGAGTGCCGGCACAGCCCACCCCTCTGGGCCATGGGGTGCCCGGCCTGGCCGCCTGCTTCCTGCCAGGGGGGTGACCCCCCCTGCAGGTGCCCAGCTGTGGGGATGGGGTCGTTGCCACTCCCATCCTGGTGGCTCCTGCCCAGGGATCACGGCTCACAGGGCTGGGAGCAGCACGCGTGGGCAGCGTCAGGCGTGGCCGTGCTGTCGGCATTGATGAAATAAAGGTCCCAGCCCCAGCCAAGTCCCAGCGCTTGCTTCGTGGGCGTGCGGTCCTGGGTGCCCTCATGAGGCTGGGCCAGAGAAGGGGCTGGGATAGCACATATGGGGCAGGGTCTATGTGCCAGGCAGGGGAAGGGGCTGTGGCTGTGGTGCTGTGTATGGGGCAGAAAGAGCCCACAGGAGTGGGGCAGCCCTGGGGACCTTTCCCAGGGTTTGCCTTGGTTTGGGTGTGCACTGGCAGCAAGAGGTGCTGGTTCAAAAGTCACTCATTGGGGCCTCTTGTTGGAACCTCTTAGCAGCAAATAAATATCATTTATCTTAACAGTGTGAGTGAGAGCCCATTCACCTGTCGGGGCTGTAGGATTAATGTGGCGTCAATAGCCCCGGTGTGTTTGCCTGCCAACCTGGTGGGCCTCCTCCCATGCTGCACCCCTGTGCAGCGAGGGCTGTTCACGCACACGTGTGCACACGTGGGTCTGCATGCCCCTCACTCTGGCTCCCTGTGGCTCAGCCCTTGCATGCCAATGGTGGATGCCACATGGGGCCCTCTGTCCCCAGCCACTCGGGATGCCAAAGGGACTCCTGCTGGC